CCTGGGGCAGGCTACTAACTTACGTCACAGCTAAACACCTGGGGCAGGCTACTCACTTACGTCACAGGTAAACACCTAGGGACAGCGATACACCTGGGGTAGGCTTCTCACTTATATCACAGCTACACACCTGGTGACAGCGATACACCTGGGGCAGGCTTCTCACTTACCTCACAGCTACACACCTGAGGCAGGCTTCTCACTTACGTCACAGCTACACACCTGGGGACAGCGATACACCTGGGGCAGGCTTCTCACTTACCTCACAGCTACACACATGAGGCTGGCTTCTCACTTATGTCACAGCTACACACCTGGTGACAGCGATACACCTGGGACAGGCTTCTCACTTATATCACAGCTACACACCTGGGGACAGCGATACACCTGGGGCAGGCTTCTCACTTACCTCACAGCTACACACCTCGGGACAGCGATACACCGGAGGCTGGCTTCTCACTTACCTCACAGCTACACACCTGGGGACAGTGATACACCTGGGGCAGGCTTCTCACTTACGTCACAGCTACACACCTGGTGACAGTGATACACCTGGGGCAGGCTTCTCACTTACGTCACAGCTACACACCTGGTGACAGCGATACACCTGGGACAGGCTTCTCACTTATGTCACAGCTACACACCTGAGGCAGGCTTCTCACTTATGTCTCAGCTACACACCTGGGGACAGCGATACACCTGGGGCAGGCTTCTCACTTACCTCACAGCTACACACCTGAGGCAGGCTTCTCACTTATGTCACAGCTACACACCTCGGGACAGCGATACACCTGGGGCAGGCTTCTCACTTACCTCACAGCTACACACCTGAGGCAGGCTTCCCACTTACCTCACAGCTACACACCTGGGGACAGCGATACACCTGAGGCAGGCTTCTCACTTACCTCACAGCTACACACCTCGGGACAGCGATACACCTGAGGGAGGCTTCCCACTTACCTCACAGCTACACACCTGGGGACAGCGATACACCTGGGGCAGGCTTCTCACTTACCTCACAGCTACACACCTGAGGCAGGCTTCCCACTTACCTCACAGCTACACACCTTGGGACAGAGATACACCTGAGGCAGGCTTCTCACTTACCTCACAGCTACACACCTGGGGACAGCGATACACCTGAGGGAGGCTTCTCGCTTACGTCACAGCTACACACCTGGCGCAGGCTTCTCACTTACCTCACAGCTACACACCTCAGGACAGCAATACACCTGAGGCAAGCTTCTCGCTTACGTCACAGCTACACACCTGGTGCAGGCTTCTCACTTACCTCACAGCTACACACTTGGGACAGTGATACACGTGAGGCATGCTTCTCACTTACCTCACAGCTACACACCTGGGGGCAGCGATACACCTGGGGCAGGCTTATCACTGACCTCACAGCTACACACCTGGCGCAGGCTTCTCACTTACCTCACAGCTACACACATGAGGCTGGCTTCTCACTTACCTCACAGCTACACCCCTGGGGCAGGCTACTAACTTACGTCACAGCTACACACCTGGTGACAGCGATACACCTGGTGACAGCGATACACCTGGGGCAGGCTTCTCACTTACCTCACAGCTACACACCTGAGGCAGGCTTCCCACTTACCTCACAGGTACACACCTTGGGACAGAGATACACCTGAGGCAGGCTTCTCACTTACCTCACAGCTACACACCTGGGGACAGCGATACACCTGGGTCAGGCTTCTCACTTATGTCACAGCTAAACACCTGGGGACAGCGATACACCTGGGGCAGGCTTCTCACTTACCTCACAGCTACACACCTGGGGACAGCGATACACCTTAGGCAGGCTTCTCACTTACCTCACAGCTACACACCTCGGGACAGCGATTCACCTGAGGGAGGCTTCTCACTTACGTTACAGCTACACACCTGGGGACAGCGATACACCTGGGGCAGGCTTCTCACTTACCTCACAGCTACACACCTGAGGCAGGCTTCCCACTTACCTCACAGCTACACACCTGGGGACAGCGATACACCTGAGGCAGGCTTCTCACTTACCTCACAGCTACACACCTCGGGACAGCGATACCCCTGAGGGAGGCTTCTGGCTTACGTCACAGCTACACACCTGGCGCAGGCTTCTCACTTACCTCACAGCTACACACCTCAGGACAGCAATACACCTGAGGCAAGCTTCTTGCTTACGTCACAGCTACACACCTGAGGCAAGCTTCTCGCTTACGTCACAGCTACACACCTGGCGCAGGCTTCTCACTTACCTCACAGCTACACACCTCAGGACAGCAATACACCTGAGGCAAGCTTCTCGCCTACGTCACAGCTACACACCTGGTGCAGGCTTCTCACTAACCTCACAGCTACACACTTGGGACAGTGATACACGTGAGGCATGCTTCTCACTTACCTCACAGCTACACACCTGGGGACAGCGATACACCTGGGGCAGGCTTATCACTGACCTCACAGCTACACACCTGGCGCAGGCTTCTCACTTACCTCACAGCTACACACCAGGGGCAGGCTTCGCACTTACCTCACAGCTACACACATGAGGCTGGCTTCTCACTTACCTCACAGCTACACCCCTGGGGCAAGCGACTCACTTACGTCACAGCTACACACCTGGTGACAGCGATACACCTAGGGCAGGCTTCTCACTTACCTCACAGCTACACACCTGGTGACAGCGATACACCTGGGTCAGGCTTCTCACTTATGTCACAGCTAAACACCTGGGGACAGCGATACACCTGGGGCAGGCTTCTCACTTACCTCACAGCTACACACCTGGGGACAGCGATACACCTTAGGCAGGCTTCTCACTTACCTCACAGCTACACACCTCGGGACAGCGATTCACCTGAGGGAGGCTTCTCACTTACGTTACAGCTACACACCTGGGGACAGCGATACACCTGGGGCAGGCTTCTCACTTACCTCACAGCTACACACCTGAGGCAGGCTTCCCACTTACCTCACAGCTACACACCTGGGGACAGCGATACACCTGGGGCAGGCTTCTCACTTACCTCACAGCTACACACCTCGGGACAGCGATACCCCTGAGGGAGGCTTCTGGCTTACGTCACAGCTACACACCTGGCACAGGCTTCTCACTTACCTCACAGCTACACACCTCAGGACAGCAATACACCTGAGGCAAGCTTCTCGCTTACGTCACAGCTACACACCTGAGGCAAGCTTCTCGCTTACGTCACAGCTACACACCTGGTGCAGGCTTCTCACTTACCTCACAGCTACACAACTGGGGACAGCGATACACCTGAGGCATGCTTCTCACTTACGTCACAGCTACACACCTGGGGACAGCGATACACCTGTGGAAGGCTTCTCACTTACCTCACAGCTACACACCAGGGGCAGGCTTCGCACTTACCTCACAGCTACACACCTGGGGCAGGCTTCTCACTTACCTCACAGCTACACACCAGGGGCAGGCTTCGCACTTACCTCACAGCTACACACCTGAGGCTGGCTTCTCACTTACCTCACAGCAACGCACCTGGGGCATGCTACTAACTTACGTCACAGCTAAACACCTGGGGCAGGCTACTCACTTACGTCACAGCTACACACCTAGGGACAGCGATACACCTGGGGCAGGCTTCTCACTTATATCACAGCTACACACCTGGTGACAGCGATACACCTGGGGCAGGCTTCTCACTTACCTCACAGCTACACACCTGAGGCAGGCTTCTCACTTACGTCACAGCTACACACCTGGGGACAGCGATACACCTGAGGCAGGCTAGTCACTTACCTCACAGCTACACACCTGGGGACAGCGATACACCTGGGGCCGGCTTCTCACTTACTTCACAGCTACACATCTGGGGACAGCGATACACCTGGGGCAGGCTTCTCACTTACCTCACAGCTACACACCTGAGGCTGGCTTCTCTCTTACCTCACAGCTACACACCTGGGGCAGGCTACTAACTTACGTCACAGCTACACACCTGGGGACAGCGATACACCTGAGGCAGGCTAGTCACTTACCTCACAGCTACACACCTGGGGACAGCGATACACCTGGGGCAGGCTTCTCACTTACCTCACAGCTACACACCTGAGGCTGGCTTCTCAGATATGTCACAGCTACACACCTGGGGACAGCGATACACCTGGGGCAGGCTTCTCACTTATATCACAGCTACACACCTGGGGACAGCGATACACCTGAGGCAGGCTTCTCACTTACCTCACAGCTACACACCTCGGGACAGCGATACACCTGAGGCTGGCTTCTCACTTACCTCACAGCTACACACCTGGGGACAGCGATACACCTGGGGCAGGCTTTTCACTTACCTCACAGCTACACACCTGGGGACAGCGATACACCTGGGACAGGCTTCTCACTTACCTCACAGCTAAACACCTGGGGACAGCAATACACCTGGGGCAGGCTTCTCACTTACCTCACAGCTACACACCTGGTGACAGCGATACACCTGGGGCTGGCTTCTCACTTACCTCACAGCTACACACCTGAGGCTGGCTTCTCACTTACCTCACAGCTACACACCTGGGGCAGGCTTCTCACTTACGTCACAGCTACACACCTGGGGACAGCGATACACCTGAGGCAGGCTTCTCACTTACCTCACAGCTACACACCTGAGGCAGGCTTCTCACTTATGTCACAGCTACACACCTGGGGACAGCGATACACCTGAGGCTGGCTTCTCACTTACCTTACAGCTACACACCTGAGGCAGGCTTCTCACTTACCTCACAGCTAAACACCTGGGGCAGGCTACTCACTTACGTCACAGCTACACACTGCCAGGAGAAGGTATTTCCCTTTGAATTTACCCTTCAAATGAAAATAGAAATATTTCTCCTGTACCCAGAGGTTATGCTACATTACAACAACACATATCGTAGTGGAACATGCGGTGCCCTGGATGCTAAAGAGATAAAAAGAATATTAACTTCAAGAAACTTCTGACTTCTTGTTTTTTCAGCCTGACACATTGGAAGCAGAACTTGTTTATGTTGGACATTCCACTAGACGTGAAATCAAAGGACCGACTGGAGGGAGTGGCAACGCTTACACGACACCCAGAGTGGCGGCGGCATCTCAGATTCTGGCTAAAGTTTGATCACATCACCAATGAAACAAATCAGGTAAAGTAGGGGTACAAAGTTGAAGGTGGTTGAATCATTTTTTTTCATGGCTGGGACACACTTGCACCACTAATTTCTTTCAAAGACATTTGTCTTTCAAAGTTTGACCTGGAAATAATATGTGTGGGAGAATGCCAGAATGTGTGGGATCAGGGTGAGCAGTCTCTACAACATCACTTGGATTGTGTTTCCTTTATAATTTGGTGACATATAGATTTGAAGATAACCACTGTCACCATATGGCTGAAAGTTTTATCAAGCAACATGTGTTTGGTTTACAGCTTGACATATATATACATGTGAAAGTGAAACCATGTATATGTACTACGTTTTCTCACTCACAAATTTATTGACATCACAATCACACCATAATTAATACTAATAATATTTGTCTTTTCAATGATACACACGTGGTTGAGAAAGTCTTGAAAAAACTTAAAGCTGACTGAAAGTATTAGATGAAACCTTTTAGAAAATATGTTATATCCTATTTGTTAAAAGTATGCAATGCATTGAATAACTGACTTACTTTGTATATATTTATAATGATACATAAAAAGCAATGTGAACACCTGTTTGGCAGTAATATCATGGAATCATGCACCCAAGTAATCCCTGGATTCTTTGTGTATTTGCTGTTGTTCTTGGTCATATTTCAAGCTGCATATACTGGTATAGCAACAATACAACTTTGGGATTGTCTTTGAAAGCAGTTAAATGTGGGCTTAGCAAATATTTGGTATTTTGACATTTTGATAATGTACAAATTATTACATAAGTGTGTGTATCATTCTGACGTAAATACAGTGTGACATCTCTATTTATGTAAACCATGGCTCATCTGTCTTTGACCATGTGGCAACTGAATGAGTTGTTAGTCAATGCACCACTTGGCCATGATGAACTTCACGGGAAATGTGTATCACCAGCAGGTTTTGAAGATCAAGACTGAAAGTAAATCCATTTATGAACAGGGATATTTGTGATGCTACCATGACATTGATGAATGCTTGATTCTTATTGGTTAAAAACAGGTTTCCTTTTTGCTACAGAAACCTCTTTCAAATATATTAAGCCTTTTCACACAAAAAACGTGCGTATGAATACATCGATAGCCTACATATCGATTCATAAAAAATGTCTGCCAATTGATCACCCCCACATGAACTGTAAAACGTATCAATATTTCCTCTAATACACACTGGGTCTCTAATACAAGCCAGGTCTCTAAAACATGCTGAGTCAAAGGCCCTTTTGGGAAATTAATAGACGGCCTAGCGTCTAATAGAGGATATACGTCAGTTTGATATCGGATGATTTTGGCATTCTAGGCCGCAACCCTGACTGCTACGTTGATGACATTGCAAAATTTAACGAAGGCATATCTTTTCCCTACATATGAAATTTTTATGAAACTGTTAGGGACATTCTATGGTGACCAGAATCGCAACAGGCTATTTCCTAATTGAAACAACTGACAATGACAGTATGATAAAACATTAAAAAACATGTTTGAAGAAACTTTATTCATGACAACATGTTGTTAACAAACCTTTTTGTGATATTCATTGACATCTCCGTCTACCACCACCGTAAGGATTTGGCAGGAGAGGATTTAAAAGTCCATCAGAAAACACTCGAAAGGCGAAAACAATATCCCGACATCACTGAAGTCAAAGCACACTTGATCATAGCAACTTATCTGATGAGATTCATTTCAGAACATGCACAATTATGAAAATCATACACGAACCACTGTTTCTGGGCCACGATAGTCACAATAATTTTCTTTCATACGCTTGCATGAATCCGTGAAAACTTCAAATTGACAGATAAAATCATGCAGATTCCTCATGTCACAATAGCTGGCTTGTCTGCAGCCATGAAAGCATCTTGTCTGCAGCTTACAAAATGGCTGTTCAGCCATACTCCAGTTCCATTGGTAATCACATTGTACCAGCAGGGTCATTCGCAGTGAATCTACAGGTTAATGTTGAACCACATCATAGATCGGTGTTGTCATCTTGCTTTGTAACGTGTCTGCTGAGGCACGGAAAATGTAAACAGCTTTGAAGTGTGAGTACCTGTGATGTAGGTCAAGTTCTGCCACATCAAAGATGTGGGTGGAGTGGCATTTATTTTCATTTTTTATTATATACTCATTACTGGGTGTAATTGCTGACAAACTACACATGCAAAATAAATAGTAGAATGTTAATTCATAAATTTTGTTGTAGAAATATATTCGTTTAGCATTTTGAATAACTATTTCTACAACCTATCACCCCTACAATGGAAATGGCATGTTCGATTTCCAAGAAATGACCTCTCTCGCTGATTTCCAAGAATTGACTTGGGGTCGGTCCAAACAGTGCACAGCAGGTTGGTAGAAATAAAACATCTGTCTTTAGACTAAGTTTGGAGGGTTATTTCTCAACTTCTTTTTGAAAAACTATGTGTTTTGAACACTTATTGACAGGCCTCAAAGTTGTGACTAAAATGGTAGCCAATGCGACCCAAATTGCAGTTTTTCTACTGTCTAATATTCAGAGGGAGCCAAATGACTACCTAGAAAAAATATCTTGTGGCAACTAAATTCTATTGCTACACATCTGTAGACATAAGAAATAAATAACAGCTGATATTGGAAAACACGTCTGCTAATAATTGTACTCACAAATAATTCCTTCTAAAGTCGACAGTGAACCAAAATAAATAAAAATTAATGTACTTAGTACTTTATTTCAGTTGGCAATGCTCATTGGCTAAGCGAGGATATACCTGTATTATCTAGTAACATAAATTGCATCATTGTTCAAGTCACAAGTTACAAAATTCAAGTAGAGTTTCCATTAATATACAATTTCAAGTATAGTGCTGTAACTTGTACATATTATGATAGTTATTTGATAAAGATAATTTCAAATGCTTTTGACTATCTATAATATTGGCTTGACTTCATGATTTTACCACTGGCTACCTGGAAAAAAATACTTGTAGCCATATGACTACTTGGTAAAAATTTAAACTTTGAGGCCTTTTATTTTGAACTACTCAAGACTATGGTGTTTTTAATCTGGAACTTTAGTAATATTTGTAAAATATTAACTACCTCTGATCACTTTTTGGAATGTTCTATGATAGCTGACCTTTGTACCTGTGTTGTTACACGTTGCAAGAGAGCGCCGTTTTGAAAGCGTTGTTGCCGTCATGGTAGAATGGAAATAAACCTACTGTGTTTTGAAATTTGATGCAGTCCCTCCTCTTATTTATACATTTGAAACCTCGCGCTAAAGCACTTGGTTCCAAATTAAAATAAGAGGTATCGACTCAACAGTGGGACTACAACAAGTTTCAAAACACAGTAGGTTTATCTCCTAAATAAAACATGAAATATGACTGTTGTTCATATGACACCTGACAACATCAATAAATGCTGAACTGAATGCATGGTTTGTGAATGTAACTAATGGAGGCTGTGCCATGACACCTGACAACATCAATAAATGCTGAACTGAATGCATGGTTTGTGAATGTAACTAATGGAGGCTGTGCCATGACACCTGACAACATCAATAAATGCTGAACTGAATGCATGGTTTGTGAATGTAACTAATGGAGGCTGTGCCATGACACCTGACAACATCAATAAATGCTGAACTGAATGCATGGTTTGTGAATGTAACTAATGGAGGCTGTGCCATGACACCTGACAACATCAATAAATGCTGAACTGAATGCATGGTTTGTGAATGTAACTAATGGAGGCTGTGCCATGACACCTGACAACATCAATAAATGCTGAACTGAATGCATGGTTTGTGAATGTAACTAATGGAGGCTGTGCCATGCCACCCAGTGCTTGATAGCCTGCACATGTATGTGTATGTCAGCATGTGTATGTCAGCATGTGTATGTCAGCATGTGTATGTCAGCGTGTGTATGTCAGCGTGTGTATGTCAGCGTGTGTATGTCAGCATGTGTATGTCAGCGTGTGTATGTCAGCGTGTGTATGTCAGCGTGTGTATGTCAGCATGTGTATGTCAGCGTGTGTATGTCAGCGTGTGTATGTCAGCATGTGTATGTCAGCATGTGTATGTCAGCGTGTGTATGTCAGCGTGTGTATGTCAGCGTGTGTATGTCATGACCATCTGTCAACTGTCCTGGCCAGCGTTTAGAATAAAAAACATCAGGACCCAAAGACTTCAGAAGCTGCAGGCCCTGACTTAGCTCTTAAGGTCCTCATTTACAAAACTGCAGCTTATTGTGACAAATAAATACACCTGTATATTTACTGCAGGCCATAAAGACCCATACGACTGTTTAACTATGGGCCCGACACGAAATCTACCTGCCACTGCCTAAGGGCGAGTGCTTAGTATGAAGACTGGCCTGGCAGGGTTTCCGGTTTAGAATACTGGTCATAAGAGGTGACCAAATAGATCGGGTTTTTAGACTCAGTGACTTGTTTGATAGCGTGTCTTCATACCCTGATAGTGTGGATCATTGCTCACAATATCAATCACTGGATTTTCTGGACAAAAGTTGATTATTGTGGGCCACTGTCATATAGCTGGAATATTGCTGAGTGCAGAGTTCAACAAAAAACACACACTAACACATGTCATCTGTTTAACAATTTACATTTCATTCATTGAGTAACTTACTTATTTTCCATTTCAGACTGAATCCTATGATAAAGAGTTCCTGGTGTGGAGATGAGTAAGACGGTCACTAGGATAACCCTCCTGACATTGCTCAACATTTCATCAATTTAGCTGAAGGTTTAATTTGAACTGCACATGGTGTCCTGGTATACTACTCTGGCTGGAGAGACAGAAGTGTTATGGCTGCCAGATCGCAGTTGGCATTACTGATAGTCTGTGTTTATCGTTGTTTCTGACCACAAGTATTTTAGAGGATGGCAGAACATTACAGCATCTTCAATGTAGAAGTGTTTTTCTTGCAGGACCTGATGTTAACTGTTCTACATGTTGACATGATGTTAACTGTTTTACATGTTGACATGATGTTAACTGTTCTACATGTTGACCTGATGTTTACACTGTTCCACATGCATGACACAATGTAACACTGTTCCACATGCATGACACAATGTTACACTGTTCCACATGCATGACACAATGATAACACTGTTCCACATGCATGACACAATGATAACACTGCTGCAGGTGCACAACACAATGTTACACTGTTCCACATGCATGACACAGGGAATGAGGGTCAGTGTAAATATCGGGGCTCTCAAAGTGCTCATCTTGGCATGTTTATTTTGTCAAATGCAATGATATTATTATCCCCCACCACGAAGTCCCGTCAAGTATTGTTTTACAGAGTTATTGCCCTTGCTCCATACTTTTCAACTCAGTGCATAGTGTCTGCAGTTGGGACAAGTTTTCTCAGAAACTACTGACGTTACATGAATGAAACGTTGCAAGTTTATCTAAGAGATACCTTTTAAGACTGAGTTAAAGAAATTGTCCCCTCATTAATTAGTTATGGCCCTTGCTTCGTACTTTCCAATTAAGTCCATACTGTGCAATGGGGACAAGTTTTCACAGAATCTATTCAAGTTAGAGAAATGAAAATTTACGCACTGATGTTACCATGGTTACTGGCCACAATCTCAAATGAGTTAAAACATTTTCCCGTAATTATTTGTTTACAGAGTTATGACCTTTGATCCATGTTCATTTTCTTGCTGCATAGTGTGTGCAATGGGGACAAGTTTTCTCAGAAACTGCTGAAGTTAGCTTCTCTAAGTATGTAAGTTATTTTTCCAGAGGAGGGGATTTTTTGTGTGTATTAATTTCACATTTAATCAATTTTTTTTATGACAAAAAGCAGCCTACAGGGCTATCTCTATTTGAAGCTTTATAGGACTTTTGTTTATAATTTATATTCACTATTATAAGAACAGACAAAATTCTAATGTGCCCTATGGTGGGGGATAGTGATAATGCTGTTTCTTGTCAAATAGTTTTGAAAGGTATGTTCTTTTTGTTCATGTTCAGAATGTGTTAAGGGTACAATGTGTGAAGCCCATTTCTTGTGTCCTCCGCCTTGATATTGCTGGAATATTGCTAAAAGTGGCTAAAGACAAAACTCACTCACTCACTTACTGCAGTAATATTGGTATTTTTAACAAACCTTTATCAACAAGGAACTGACAAGTCCCTATTCTATCTTGTCTATTCTTTGTACTTTATCTATGTTAAAATACTATTTTGATATTGATTGACAGTATTGACTATTATTCAGTGTTTTTGCCATAACAGTGGCTAGCTGGATAACACATGACAAGCTACAAGACATGAACTAAAATGCATGCATCTAAATGGCATTGCCTCAGCTTATTAACATCATTGACAGTTTTTCTTACCAGTATTGCCTTGTTAATTTTCTTTGACACTTTATTGTGTTATTTATCCTTTGATATCTGCACTAGCAATTATGGAATAAGAAATGTATGTAATGCACAAATCAAGATGGATGGGTGATAGATGCCTTATTGCATCACTCATGAAACGGGAGTTGCAGAGCCAGGTTGTGTTTGTATTTGTCACCCTGAATGTTGAAGCCAGATATGTTTGATCTCACATGTGTATTGAGGTCCATGAACGATGTAATTGGATGAGGCCACAATAAATTGATTATGTTTTCATCCATTTGTTTAGAAAACTATGAGGGGGGCAAGGGTGGGCCAATCGTCTTAAGGCGCCGCAATTCGCTGTGCAGAGTTGCGTCCCTTGGGCACACCAGAAACCTATGGTTGTTGGTTCGAATCCCGATTATGTTTCTAGGTTTGTCAGCACCAAACGAGGGTTTCGCTGAAGTGGCAAACGTCAAAGACCTGCATCACATCACATCACCTGCATCAAGTCTTGGGGCTTTCCTCCCCCCTTAAGTTGACATGCCATGGTATGACTGGAATACTGTTAAAAGCAGAAATAAACACAACTCACTCACTCACTCAAAAATCTATGAGGTGGTTGTCATTCTATTTTTACTTCTATTTTTGAACAAAGTTTCTGTGTACACTAACCATCCATATATCTGACTGGACTATGTATGTGTGGTGTATTTCTTCAAGTGAAATAAGCAGGGAACACAGTGTTTGTTTCTTCTGTAGGTACTTGGGGACAATATAATGAGGCGGAGTCTTTGGTACTGAGGTGGGTGGGCTGCAATTCTAATAATTAATATATTGCTTGGTTTAGATGATAATTCTTTCTGTGGGCCATGAACCCTACTCCAGTGATACCGAGACACTTATGCAAAGGCTATTAGCAAGAAAACAAGTGGGTGTTTCATTATATTGTTCATGCATATATATTACTTGAGTTATGTACCTTCATTTCACTCAACAATGACTGGCTCATGTGCAATAAACTATTTTAGCATCATGTGTTGGATCATTATTAGCTGAGACCAGTGTTTTGTTTCTGGTTTGGGTGAGCACTATGCAGTACACATTGTTTTGGGGGGCATTCTTTGTGCACCTAAGCAGAATAAGATGAGGAGAGTTCTGTTGGTGGTAGTTTCAACATTTCTACTGACACACACTGTCTTATCTTACTGCTTCTTGTATTGTGAATGGGTTTTCGATTTTTTCTAATTTAGTTATTTTGAAAAAAGCATGTGGTACGTATATGATCAGATGTTCAGTTGTCTGTGCATTTTCCTTTTTGACCTTGCTTGGGGAAATGGGGGTAGCCTTGTGGTTAAAGCGTTCGCTGGTCACACCCATGACCTTGACCTAGAATAACGCAGTCACAGGGTGAGGCGCGCATCGTCGACGTTTTTCATTCCCGGTAAGATGGGAGGACAAGAGTGTGTTCCTGTAATGTAGGAAACACACTGCTGCTGTCCCACCGACAGGATATAGCTGGAATAATGCTAAAACCACCCCAATAAAACAACTCTCTTCTATGAGCTTTTCACTTCAAATAATAGCTTCATATTTTCGAAATCTGCTCTGAAACCTTTGGGTGTATGGAGCTTACGATGTGTGTATAGAACAAGAATCTGCAGAATTGACAACCGTTTGGACATGGTTATATTGTACAACGAGTTTGTGTTGAAATACAGGAATTTTGTCGTTAATGGTTTGCCTGTTTGTGACCTTAACTTTGGCGTAGCCCTTGAGTCTAGTGATAGATTTGTGTCACCATGTGGTGGATCTCCCACCCCCTTTTGAATATCACGTATTGAAATTGACACAATGACGTGAAACCAAAAAAGGGTACGATGCCATGCCGTATCGACGTTTCGAAAATCTATTATATGTCTTCGGATATTGCAGTAGTCGCTTCCCCACCAGAATAGTTCTTAACTGCTCGCATCACAAATGTATCCGTGAGTCCCGTAGGACCGGCAGTTATGTGTTATTCAATGTCGTATAATAATGAGCGCAGCGCACAGACTGACTCCAACGATCTCAGTCACCTCATCATTTCTCTATTCAAGAGAAACACTTGATCCTACGCTACGCGTTTTTAGTATAGATCTACGGTTAATTGAGTACTGATACACTGAAAATGTATCCCCGTTGGGATTATTTGCGCAATGAAAGATTTCCTTACACAGTATTCGTAATGAAGTTGAGTTAATTGGGGTCTTCAAGCTACAATGGCTTCTTGGGGGAGCGAAACTAAAATGAGGCCCCACGGTGATGTGCGGGGAGAAAGTAGCCCATGCGCTTGGTAAGAGCTGATTGAACTTGTGATTGGGAGTGGGACCTGGTGTGGTTCAGCGTGTCCCGACTGTCCATCGCTCATGCTAACAACCACTGGTTTGTGTAGTTCAGACTTGATAAGTTACAGGTCGCCCACTAACCGCTCGTGACTTAATCGGTGCCAAACCCGCTGATGGAAAATTAGTTTCGGCTATTTCAAACGAAACAGTAAATGTTTACACACTGGAAGTGAAGGAACTTAGGATGTTACAAATTTTATCTGCAATCGCCCCCAATTTCCGAAGTAATGCCATATCAACCTAATACATTACGTCCCCTTGTCACGCGAATTCGGGTAAGAATACGTCCCAGTGATGGTTCGGTTGGTCAAGCTCGGTGACTTGGTTGATTGCGTGTCACCGTACCCCGATCGCTTGGGACGTTGCTCATGATATCAGTCACTGGATTGTCACTGGTCAGACCGGCGTGATATAGCTGAAATATTGCGGCGTTACACAAGCATTACAGCCACATGCAACAGTTCGTTTTTCTGTCAGTCCTTTACCACGTTTGTATCTCTGTATGCCAGTGCTCGTCAAAGCCCTTCACCAGCTGTCGATGAATAGCGGCAGCTCCACTTCAATGTCAATTACATGGAATGCCAAATACATCGCGCCATTACCAGTACCCCATGTCACCCGGTGGAGCAAGTGCAGTGGTGATTTACTGTGGACCTAACCCCGCGGACAGATGTGCGAAAACTAAAATACACGCATTCTCATTATCGAAACGATTGTAACATATGTTGAACGTTAAATGAGTAAGAGTGAGTGAGTATGGTTTTACGCCGCTTTTAGCAATATTCCAGCAATATCACGACGGGGGACACCAGAAAGAACGTTAAATGAAGAACTCCGTCATTCCACCTTCCACAATAAGTATTACATGGGAATGGCATTTAGGAGATAAACATACTAGCTGTGTTTTCAATGTAGACCTAGGTTACCTAGATTAAGCGCAAAATGGAAATTGGAACCTAACGCGAAGCATTAAAAACACCGTATGTTTATCTCCATTCTGGGGCGGTCGGGTAGCCTAGTGGTTAAAGCGTTCGCTCGGCACACCGAAGACCCGAGTTCGATTGCCGACATGGGTACTATGTGTGAAGCCCATTTCTGGTGTCCCCCGCCGTGAAATTGCTGGAATATTGCTAAAAGCGGCGTAAAACCATACTCACTCTCACTCACTCACTCACTATCTCCATTCTACCATGACTAAATAAAACGCGAACTCTTTGGTGTTAGCAAATATATTGAGTGAAGCGGCATGGGTTGAGTCCAGTGTTTTGAGTGGGTTGTCGATGTGAATTACGGAATCACCAACAGTCTATGGCGCTGTATATGCTCAGGCAGTTTGTTTACACCGTAATACTTCACTCGAACATGTGACAGGCAGTGACAGCATGTAAGCACGGCAACTTGGTAAGCTAACATGAGGTGGGCACCCCTAAGGAAACCAAAGCAAGCTTTGCAAGGCTTTCGTTCTACACCGAACGTCACCATTATAACGTCACATCGGTCATTGTGACGCAAAAGATATGACGTCACAGTCGTATATATAGAAAAGCGCCAAATTCCAAGCTCTCTGTTGTCCCCCAAACATAAAATACATTCTCTCTGACTTCTATCGTGTTTTCCACAGGAAATATATTGCCAAACATCCTTTGAACTTTGTAGTAACCGTAGCTTTGCATTTTGTTACGTATAATTGTAGGTATAATTATTTAAATAGGCAATGACTGAAAAAAAAGTACTATTCTATGAATATTAGCTTCCGCGGTGATGCGGCCGTCAAACCAGCAGTTTCAGTCAGAGGGGGTTTTGTGTGATTTAATAGCCTCTGATTGACCCATCAGAATCCTCATGATTTTAATCACTGGATTGTCTGGTCCAGACTCGATTATTTACAGACCGCCGTCATATAGCTGAGTGCAGCGTTAAACAACAAACAAACAAACAAAACAAAATAAAGACCTAGAATGAAATTGGGCAACAGACGGTGGAGCCGAAATTATATTTCATTTTGGCGCAGTAAGATAAATGCCTATTATAGCTAAAACGGATAGAATTATCATTAAAACGCCCGCATGTTATCAGAAATGAGCGGGCCACTGTAACTTGATAATGCCCTCGTATTGCTTGACGACGGGCCATTATCAAGCCCGTTGTTAGGTGACGTCATAGGGTATAGAAAATGACGTCACGTATTATAGTGACGTCATCTAGTTTGTTCTATGGTGTTTCCATATTTGTAAAATGTGGTCAGTGACATTCGTGCTGATTGCAGTAAATGTCTCAAAACCGATGTTGTTTCTTTTTATTTGATAACAAATTCCATCCATTTTAGCTATAATAACGGTAACGCTCTTTTTCAGGGCATTATCATTTGCAGAAGCCCTCGGTCTTTTCAACTGCCCTCCTTCGTCGGGCAGTTAATGGAAGACCTCGGGCTTCTGCAAATGATAATGCCCTGAAAAATAGCGTTACCCTTATAATAGTTCTATATATAATGGTATTTCCATTTTAACAATGCATTTGGAACTGCATCTGTCAACGTGAAGCTAAGCAACCGACGCCATTACTTTTTCTTGAGATGAACTGTTTACATCTGTCTGATGTCATAATCTCTGCGAGCTACCGAAAACGAAAATTTGGAAGTCGGTAACTGTCGGACAAGTCTGTCGGATGTATACACGTTCCTGTATATTTGTGAACAGATGTGGCTGCAAAGATGGCCTATAAACTGCATCACCACTGGGACACATGCTCTATCTAACCAAGTCGGACTCCAGCGTCCTGTCAGTCTGGTTAGGCGCGAGAAACAACATCAAAATAATAAATAATGTATTTCTGTGGGCGTACATCACAGCACGTTTGTGCGGGCGGTAGACGGTCTGTCACAGGAGTAGGTCTAGCCAGAGGTGGTGCTCTTGACACCTTTTTATGTAGCACAAGACCTTCAGCTATGTTTGGATTTAGTTGACTTTTTCCCCAAGGGTATTTTGTGAGGATCGATTTACTTCTGCTGTTGATAATATTCCTTCCATATGACACAATGGATAGGTTATACACATTGTACTCACCGACTCTCAACCCACCGGCTGAAAAGGGTGTTCAGACTCCGTTTAGTTGCTTGCCAATGCGCGATCACCGGATCCTGGCAATGACTAATGGTCACAGTATCTAACTATACTCAGCAACAAAAGTTCCTGTGACACGATATAAAACAAGAACCTGATCAAAGTAGACGCACACATCTGAAAGAATTCATTTTTTCAAACAGACAATGGACCAGTAAAACAAGTTTACACATTTAATGACACAGATCTGGAGAGCGAGCAGGCCATGGGATCACACTTACGTCGTTCTGTCCAAGTGCTTGTTGAACAATCCGGTCTACATGGAATCGGGCAGTGTATTGTTGCAGGTTGGGACCGATTTCGTAGATGGGTGGTTCGAATCCAACGATCTTGGCGGACGTTCGTAACGGGGGGCCTGCCGCTCCTTGGTCGGTCTCCGACAGTGTTTGTTTGCTGCCATCGCTGCCATAACGTCCAAATGGGCCTAGCAACTTCACGCTGCGACGTCCCGACTGGAGCATACCAATGGCTCTCACGCGGTCATTTTGAGATTGGCGTAGCATCTCCGACATGCAGGCATGATAAAAAAA